AGATCTCTACAATAGTCAGCGTTGTTCAGCATAATTCTTACGCATATCACGAGTTCAAGATAATAAAGGAGTCAGATTCTAGTCTATTATAAGGGGACGAATGAATTTTCCACCCCATTCTCTAGAAAAGAATTCACAAGAGTGTTAGTAGTCAAATGTAATTTTTTTCACTTAAAATATACCTTAGAGAATTGAGTGGTGATCAAAAACGCAGCCTCAGGCGGGAATCGAATTCGCGTTTCATCCATGCCGGGGATACATGCTACCACCACTACACCACGGAGGCACATTTGACCACTACTCAACACGAAATTTATTAACCAGAAGTAATTAAAACTGCTTAGTTACACTATTCTGAGCATGCATCATTAGCCTGGACACCTGCCATCTCTCTGGCAACAAATTATTAGCGCGCTTATTGAACACGTCCTCCTTGTATTCAAAGAAACTAGTTAATCTTTCACGCAAATGATTAGTGACCGGTAACTTATCCTTGCCGACGAAGTACTACAGCAACTGAACGAAGTGATAGTTAGCCGACCATGAGTCAAGACTGTGCGTCTGATGATCTAACGACTCTTAGCCCAATTCGGTGAGCTCACTCAATGTCAGTTTAGCCGTATACAGCCTTACGTTGTCTTGAAGAAGGATAAGATTGCGATGACGTCGACTTGACAACGCCCTATTGCAGCGGTGCACGTGCGCACAGCAGCTCACGGCGTTGGTTGTCTCTCCGGGTAGTAGTAAGTCCCAGTTATTGGCCCAATCCCCCGAAAGCTGATAAGCGCAGCCTTTAGCTGAAGTTAATTTGGTCGTGGAGTAGGAGTTTCTCGCCGGCCTGGTGACGGCTACTGATTAGGATGGCGCTGACTTGTGGAAAAAACCCGCTTTTTGTAGGCGGCCATGACCTTGGGCAGAAGAAGGTAAAAATGTGTTCTGGTTGATTTCGGATACTCTCAGTTGTGTTGCAGAGCAATTATTACTTCTGGCTAATAAATTTGGTTTTTACTGATTCAGTACCAAGTCTTGTGACAAAACCTAATATTTACAGGCAATGGGCTCAACTTTGTTAGCGTTTTTTCACAAGTTGGAACAAATTTTGCAATTAAGAATGATGACAGTGTAGTGGTTTATGATGAGCATCTGCAAACTCCCTATAGTGCTATTTACCAGCATTCATTTTTATGCCAGGCGCAGTGGAACTGTTTTAAAATGTTGCAAAATGTGCTTGCTCTTCGGTATTACGCCTGCTTCGCACACCCTAGCCGACTAGTAGCGCTAACTGAGCGTGATACCCAATATTCTTCCAAACGTTACAAAGTAGGAAAAGTTCTTCATGAAATGCAAATAACACAAATATACCAATATAGTCGGAGAGCTTTTCTCTATCTAGCGATTAAAAGTTCATCACAACGAAGCTTTATTCAGGGAGCAATCTTTGAATGATAAGCAAAATTTTATTTTGATTGATACGGAACCAAAAATAGGCTACCTGAGAATTTAAACATGCCATTGAAATTCCCGTGATTTAAGCTATTGAAAAACCATAAAAAAGTTTTGCAAAAGTAAAGAATGCGGTTGTACCGAAGGCCTTAATTGGCGCCACCATAATAGAACAGCACCCTGTTTATTACGTGAATTTTTCCCACTGAAGGCCTAGATATTATTCGTCTTTATTTTCACTTTGTTACAAGCCGCCGTCTTGTCCACCGATGCCATCGAACATCGTGTTTTACTGCGTCATTATTGGAAAAAGGGTATTTCATAGCGAGCTGCAGAAGATGAAATCAACGGAGTTGAAGGAGAAGGCACAACAAGCAAATCTGCTGTTGAACTCTGGTCTCTACAGTTCAATACCGGAGATCTCAACCTCTGAGACTAGCCTCGTTGAGGCGTCCAACAACATTGAAGAATCACGTGTAGAGTTCTTTGATTCGAAGCCGAATGATTCATACTTCAACCAGATTCCAAACAAGGCGGACCAATGGCAGAAAGTTGCACGAAACGATGGCCTTTATTTTGAAGAACAGTTATTGTTTGGTTTCAATCTTTTTCAAATACATAGAACTCTCTTTTCTGCCGAATATATAGTTATTTCTAGAGCTTCTAAGATAAGCTGCTGCACATTATCTCTAAAATTTTTGCTTAACCCTTTGAGGAGCAATCGATAGGTTTCGTACCGTGCCGCTCGACCTCAAACCTCACTCATATACTGTAATGACGACACCGCGCCTTGTGGAAAGTGAAGACGCGGCGCCACCTGCCTTTCAACGCTGGTCCCTTGAAGAGTTTTAGCAGCATGCAGTTTAGCACTTCTTTTGCTCATTGGGTATATCTAATCAGAACAACCCACAACAATGGTTTGCAAATGCTTTCAAGTAAGCAATGAAACGCGAGTCTGACTCCACCTGATGTCGTATTTTTGCTCGCCACTCAATTCTCCTAAGTCTATTCATAGATCCTTCCATTTTTTATTGGAGCCAACATGTCATGTGGTCTGGTAAGGGCTCTTGTACAGCCCGAGACACGTGTTTCGTCCTTACAGACTCATCAGCCTCATCTTTTTATAGTCAGTTCTCTCGGGAGCCTTACACTCCTTATATATAGTTATCGACGACGTACGCTTTACACTCTATGTCAGGAGAAACATTCACCTAACACAGAGCGTTTTCGCACTCGATTGCTAGCTGGCTGGTATTTTTATCATAGTATACCTTTCCTTCGAGTGCTTTATTGAGACCACGCTCAAATTTCAATAGATCCTTCCATTTTTATTTGAGCCAACATGAATTCTATTCATAGAATTAATGAAAGATTGGTTAGAAATAACGACACCGAAGGTTTATTCATAGATGAGGCTATTTAGGTGATCATTTGAATAGCTAAATGCGTTTAAGTGACTTTTTTTGGGGACATCATGTGAGCGTAAAATTCCAAATAGATGAAAGAAATTTTTATTATAATTTTCTATCTGTAGGAGTGCTGATGCGTTGGTGTTTCGAGTTTGGTCGTCAACTTCGGCTGCTCGTTTGCTTGAATAATGCAGTCATTGATCACGTCATATTTATCGACTTCATCATTGTTACTTGTAATGAACAAACCTGAAATCAAATGCACATGAATGGCGCATTTAGTTCGAATCTTCTCAAGAACTTCTATGTGTTTTCGTCAGAGCGTCTTTGAACGATTGAGCTACGTAACTGGATTATTTAGTTAGGATAAAGATTTACAACGATCACGGACGTTTTTTACTGCGAAGTCACGAAAGCAGTTTTATCTTGTTAATACTTCATTAATCCTACTGTATGAGATATCACATTAAACATCAAGCCCATTATTTCTCGAAAAATTCGAAAATGGTTTTTTTTTCGTTTGTTCAAGACTTCTTACAATCATGAATATTGTACGTGACTGGCATAACCATACACTAGATTGCTGGGATATCATCCATTGTGGGTTCATGACGCCATGTTTGTCGACAGAGAGCTATTAAAAACAATATTTACTTCACCGACTTTGATTTTTTTCAGTGATCATGAAAGTATTGCTAACTACTCAGCTAATGTTATGTTCTGATGTAAATTGAGGCAGTATGGCAATAGACGCAGCATTTTTGCAGAATAGTTATGATGTATGAGTTTTTGACCTGTAGAAGTTGGGGAGAAAAAGCTCTATCACATATTGACAGAACTGAACAAAAACTTTACTAAGGACTAAAATTGATTACCAAGTCCATTTCAGTGAGCTCATTGCAAGAAAGGTAGCCGAGCGTATCGAATTTCCTCTACTTTTACTGATTCACCCTCACTGATTGAGAGTCGTAGACGGTTTTAACCAATTATAGCTTCGTTATCTGCTTGGCGTCCTCCACTAAGTCGGGATAGTCAGGAGCAAAGATTGCGTGATTGGCGTGAACATCGGCTAAACAAATGTGAGCAAGTGAAGAGGTTTTGACTTCTCTGATTTCCGCTCCGGCCAATGTTTCGGCTCACGTTCTCCTCTTCAAGCTCGACTGATCCAAGTCGATGCTCCACAGTCGTTATTCTTTCTTCTGGCCTTCGACCTCAATGTCGTTTGAGTCGGATCTTCTTCATGGGAGAAACGCTTGAATGAGAACATCAAGCAGCAGAGCTCTTTTTATAGAGTATGGTTAGTGATGATAGTGATTGTCCTAAGATAATACTTGTTTTTTATCGACCATTTCATCCTCTGAAAGTCGATGTAATAACTGGAATGCACGGAGATTCACAATAGAATGATAATCGACTTTACTACAGACTCACTACTCAGTTACATCTCTTATGCTGAATGAGCCAGTTTTGATTATTTAATTTGTTAATAACCTATTTATTCGACTGATGTATCAACGCGCTTCGCCTCCTTCGGAGCGTCTTTGATTAGTTTAAAGCTGAAAAAAAAGTTGATCATCAGTTTATGATAAAGCTCCGTGCAAGCCAGCAATGACTCCAACATTCGCGGGAAGTATTGTCCGACGAAAAGCAATTATTATCAATAAACAATCACTACCATCAGTAACCGTTTTGTATAAGAAAGGGATTGCTGGGTGAACTCTCATTCATGCGATGCTTCCGTGAAGAAGACACGACTAGAACGAGAGCGAAGGCGAAGACCACAAGAGGGCTAGCGAAGATATAGATTCAAAGTGAGTCGTAAGTTAACGGAAAGCCAGTGATCAATTTACAGCAGTGTGATTCAAAAAAGTACCAATCTTATGTGTATCATTTTGTAATCATTTCTCGAGCGGCGTCTTACTGGTCAGAAGCGGTCAAGTATCGCTACACAACAGTACTTGTGCGCGCTCTACAGCCACATCCACATGCCCAGTTGCCCAATGATCTTCTATTGTGCTATGTTATCACTACATTGGTTGTATCAAACAAAAGAAAAATGAAATATATCGCAGTCATTATGATACATGACTCTCAGCGCATTAAACCCTAAGGGGCGACGTGCACTAGCTGAGGCACACGATTGTTTCAATGCCTTTTTTGTTGCATTAAAGTTTTCTCCCAGACATTTGGTGAACATTTGAAAGCTTAAATCTCTGCGATATCAACGACCAGTTCAATTTTGAAAAAAAAACCTTTAACTTTCATTACTTTGCAGCAAAGGAAATAAGATTAATTGATATATGAAAATCGAGAAAACTTATCTTGATTAGCTGGCGCGAGGTTGGTAAAGTAGTTGTAGAAATTCGGCTGTTTCGGCGACACGCCTTCTTCAGAGCCTGGGCGTATGTAGTGTTAGTCTATTCGAATGATTCGG